CCACGAATATCTAGGTCCGCCAGTCATTTTCTTTGCCGCTGGCGGTGACGCCGTAGTCGGTGATAGGCAAAAACAACATGGAGTGATGAGAGCGAAGAAGACTATCGCTGGCCGTCTGGGTGGGCGGCAATTTTTTCTGGAAAAGGTGTTCAGCCGTGCAGAGCACTCGCCTGCAAACGCCAGAAATCCATCCAAATTAGTTCCAGCTGGAGGAAAAAGAATCAGACCAATTGTTTTCGCCCAAAAGCATGCAACTTCGAGTTGTGGGTGAAAGCAGTGAAAGTCTGCAGTGGCTCACATGGCTCATGATATCAAACCACATTGTCCTACCGTTCACGTTGGCGCTTGCAGCTTCCTGTTTTTTGTAAGACAGCCTTGCCAGGCAAAGGAGCGCAGGGCAATGTTTCAGGCACATCTTGTGGGTTCTTTGGTGATGTCAAAAATCTCAAGCAGAAAACAGGGAGTGAAACTGGTGTGATTTTCGGAGGTGTTCTTGTAGCAAATTAACTGCCCTCCGGCAATTGCGTCGCTAGGCATCTATGGGACTGGGACCGACACTGCTTGAAAGCGGCGGACACATGTTTCAGGAGATTGTTTGTGCGATTTGTTCACATCAAAAAACAACTATGAGGTCCAATAACGGGGAACAAACAGCATCACAGCAAAAATGAATGATAAGAACCAACGAAAAGCAAGCAAACACCGTCGTTTTAAGTATATATACTTTGATAGTAGCTTCCATCAAGGACCCAGTGAAGACCAAGACCTCACCTTTGACGGCTCGATCGCCCTTTGGAAGCCCGCTGCGGGAGGCACTTAGGGGTGATGACATCATGTTTTGTCATAGGTGCTTGTGACCAGTGTCGAAGCGTTCTTCCTGTTTCCTTGGTAAGTGCAACATTACACAGTGACACACACCGTGGCCAACGGAGTCTAAGAGGTAGTTTGTACCATATCAGCCTGTGAGTGTCATACGAGGAACTGCCGCTAATAGTCTTCTCCTACTATGTTCCTCCTGCCTTGTCTCGCAATTTTTTGTACGTTTAAATCAGCTTTGGGCAAGTTTTGTTGTCGAACTTCAGAACGGTCTTTCTATTTTCAGGCAATATGCACTTAGTGACAGTGCCCTTGGTTCTTTTACCTCCTGTTACCCCTTCATACTTGCTTGAAAGAGTCAGATAATGCCGTACTCTTGAAGTAAATCTTAGGTGGGTCTAGCTGATACGTGTGAACGAGTCAGCGATATGTTGCTAAATGGAATTGTGCAGAAAGGAGGTTGGAATGTCGGTATTACCACCAGCCATCCTAAATACATCTGACCTTCACAGCCATGTGGCATCTCTATTTGTGCCCGGCCTGTATTTGGTCTTGCCAGGGTTCGAATTTGTCGAGGATGAGTCCGAAGGACTAGTGGGCCTTCTTGAATGCAAAGAACCAGAAAACCACATGGAAAGAGAATGAAAGCAGAAACGAACGAAAAACAAATGATCAAAGTTGAAGTCTTCAGGTTGTTTTAACTAAATAGACTTTGATCGTAGCTTCCATCAAGGACCCAGTGAAGACCGAGACCTCACCTTTGACGGCTCGATCGCCCTTTGGAAGCCCGCTGCGGGAGGCACTTAGGGGTGATGACATCATGTTTTGTCATAGGTGCTTGTGACCAGTGTCGAAGCGTTCTTCCTGTTTCCTTGGCAGAGAAGACCAGGTTGAAAAAACACTGCATGAGTTGGCCAAACGCTGCAGAGATGCATCTTGCATGGCTGAGGACTTGAAGGGACAAGGCCCTACGCCTACACGCAGTGACTCAGAGGCAGTGATCGTGTTTATGTATAAAGATGTATAAAGCGCTTTATCCTCAGCTGCTGTATGTTTTGTCATCGGTTATAGTTGCTCTTGAATAACAAGTTGGACAGATCTTTATTGCTGTAGGAAAGCAGGCTGGGAGAAGGCAGAGTTAGGAAACCTAGACCAGAGTCCGGAACCGTCAGTCAGGAAACCGGCTCGTCAAAGTCAGGAAACTGTTGTGACAGAGTCAGGAAACCCAGTTGCGGGTTTCACTTCTTTGTGGGGCTAGGTTTGGGGTTTCACTTGATTGGGGTTTCTAGTTTGTGCTAAGGGCTTCACTTCTTAGGGTTTCTTTGGGCTTGACTTGGGGCTCCGCTTCTGTAGGGTTTCTTTGGGCGTGCTTTAAGGCTTCACGCCTTCCGGGTTCTTTGGGCTGGGTTTAAGCGGCTTGTTTCAGCCTACGGATCTAAAACCGTACGTGCGTTTTGCGTGTTTTCTGCGCGCGGTTTGTGCGGTTTGTGTTTTCGCATCGTGCATTTCGATCGTCGCGAGGTTTTGTTGGGTGGCATGCATTCACACACATTTGTACATACATCACGAGTTTTGTTCCATCTCCTTGTTTCAGGCCAGACTTTGAAGTTAAGGGTTCATGCAAATTAAGAGAACTGTGTACCTGCATTGCCCTTCAAATTGAAAAGCATGTGTCCTGAACCTGAACCATCCCGCAGGAAGTCTCTCAACACATAAAACAACCTGACTGCTTCTCCAGATCTTTCAACAGAAAACCTGCGATTCAGGGTTGCATGCGTCTTGAGAACGACTGCTGTCACCTGAGACACTACTTCGTCAATATCAGCCACAGTGCTTCACCTGCATGTCATGATACAAAACCAGGCTTCCTCCTTGCTAAGGGCAACTGCGCCAAAAGCAAATTGCACCTTCCTGAAAGCATCAGCTGACAGCACATTGCCAGGAATGCCTTCATTTGAGTGGAAGATGAAGCTTGCTTTTTTTTGCTGGAATGCAGCATGTATCAAGAGAGGCAGTTGACAAAGAACATATTTTGGCTGCCCATCCTTACCAATCACATCTGTAACCCTGGCTTCAGCAGCATATGTTCTTGAATGCAACTGTGGCAGGCCATTCTTTTCAATAATTGCAATGACTTCTGAGCCAGCACGCTTGCAGTTATCTGAGGATGAATGTTCCTCCTAGAAGCCCTTCCAACCTTCTGATTTTGGAAGCTCTTTCATCCATAGTGCCATAGTCGTCGGACATGCTGGGGTACTTTGGCAGAGCCAACAACCTGTGTTGACTCAAAACACCTGATGTTGATCAATGATGCCAATATGCAATGCATGCCAGTTGTTCACGCTGTTGCGCTTCAGCAAAACAGCAGTTGCTTCAGCAGAACAAAAAGTCAAGCCATTGGCTTTCCATACACATGACCACAAGCAACACCTCTCTTGGCTTGATCAAATATGCACAAGCCTCGTGCTCTCAGACCTCTCTTGTGTGTCCCTTAATCACTGGTGTTCATTAAGCCGATTAAGCCTCACAATTGTGCCACGCATGACACATAAACATCAACCAACCCCTTCCAATTGTTCCTGGAGTGGTCCATGTTCGTGTGCTGCTGTTGGACAAAATGCCTCATGCCAGATAAGAAAACAACGATTGCCCCTATTCTGACAAGCACATGGTAAGAGAATTTGAGGTTATTTTGTCACTATGGCTTGGACATGTGTATGCTTACTTTGGAAAAGTGATACCCCATGCAAGACCATTATGCAATCCGCCGTCGCTTGATTTTGCAATATGCCCTTGTTCATGCATGCTCCTGTACTGCATGGCTACATCGTACAAAAGACCAAGCAGATGACATCCATGGCAACGAGCACCAATTGCAACATGTTCACTGCCACACAGTGAAGTTCTGTCAGCTGTGGCCCTCCTAGCCCATTGTCCCATTGTCTTTGTACAAGATATCCACAAGCCTTTGTCATTATTGTTACTCAAGTGGTCCCATGTCTGCAAAACTTCTTTGCTGAAACCTGACATTGGCATGAACTGGCAATTCTGTCTTGAGGAATGTCCACGTCCCTGAGACAACATGTAAGGAACATTGACACCAGTTTGTACACTCTGAGGTGAAAAGCCTCACCCACCATATCCTATTTTAATAGGCCTTCCAAAGGCAACTTTGCAATCAACTCCTTTGTTGGTTCTGAAAGACAGCTAGACCTCCCCTGACACCAAAGAGAAATCGAATGAGTTGCAGTCATGATTGCCTAATGATGCATTTGATGTACACAAAGAAAACTCCTTCCCCCAAAGTCAAAACATGCCATTAGTGGGTTGAAGAGGATTCACCTCTCCCACTTGTCCAAGAAAGCAGCCTTGGCCCTTGGCCTGATGCAATGCAAGGTTACCAAATGCCTTGACCCCAGCTTCATCAGCACAGCATTTGCAGCTCTTTGCCTGGCAATCTTGTTTTGGCTGGGAGTGAAGAAGAATGGACGAGATGGAATGCCACCTATTACTGGCTTGAGAAGTTGTGTGACGTAGCAAACTCCTCGTATGTCATATGCATGTTGGACTCAAGAACCTAATGGCCAGTTGTTGTCGCACCTGGAAACCTGCATTCGTTTGGTGTTGTTTGCAGACCCTGGCTGCTGCTGATGCTGACTTGATACTGAGAACATGTGAGAACGGTATCACACAGGTTTGCTGTAAGCCGTATCTCCTCCTCTACTTCTGCCAGTTTTGATGCTGTTGCCCTGAGTCTTGCTTCTATGAGATTTGTTGAAGAGGTGGTGGGTTACCCACCACTCGTGGTTTTAAGTTTTAAACCCCATGCATGCTGTGAACTTGTAGCTCCACTCTTCGTTTGTTGCGTCAATGCCACTCTTGCATCGACTGTTGAGCAGTACGCACTTTTTCCTACTGTTGAGACATCGGGTCAAGGACCTTGGGTTGGAGCAAAGATGTTGAAATATTTGCCTCATGTACAAAACGGTGTTTAAATTGCGTCTCTCTCTCTCTCTTGTGTATTGAAACGGTAGCTTGTGTTGAGACCGTATGTGTAGGAGACATGCAGAATGCTTTGAAAGCAATCGCGTGCTCTTGTCATTGCCAAGCGCAGTCCCGTGTTCATTCCAAGTGAAGGCTTAGTGGAAAATCCATTTGTTGCTTGAACACTTCCATTCCATGAGGTGACTACAGCTTGGAGGATCTGGCACCACTCTCAAGGTTGAAGCCCGGCCTTCGACCTGATGTATCGCATCCACGAAAATCTGAAATTGATCCTGGCTTCGATACAGAGGTAGCAAGTCACAAGAACATTTCAATATTGATGATCGTGCCAAAATCAGTTAGTTTGCATCACAAACCAACTGTGGAGATCATCGATGTTGGAAAAACAATTTTGCCAAAGGGGGTGGTACCTGCAAGCCCTTTCATACAACTCAAACCAGAGGGAGTGACTTTTCCAAAGCCAGTGCGCTTGCTGGTGCCGGTGTGCTACGGTGCAAATGCCGCTTGGCGGTCAACGCCTGATGGCAGCTGGGAGGAAGTGCCAGCACAATTTCGCGGAGGATACATGGAAGTCTACTTGACTCATTTTTGCCAGCTTTGTGCCAGCAAAGTTGTATCAGCGCTTTCCATCAAAGCCGTCGCGTTTTTGAAGCCTGGTTCACCTCCAGAGGCCACACTTGCATTCCTCGAAGTGAATTGCCAACAGTGTGAAGACCAGCTGGCACAATTGGTGCCAGGTTTGGTGAGATGTCTAAGCGAGGAAGCGGTTGACCTTTTTTCTCCTGAGAGGGATCTTCACATTTTGCAACAAGGACAAGTGATTGAAACTTTGCGCTTGGACGGCAACAGTGGAGTGCAGATCTCAAGTTGGATTCCATCAAGCGCTGACAGGATGGACATCGAGATGGAGGTTGTGGACACAAAAACATGCCGCCGTCGGATCTACACTTTTGAGTTTCCAGCCGAGGCGACGCCAGATCCGCCACCTCCACCTCCACCGCCTCTACCTCCACTTCCTGTGCCTCCACCTGTACCCATAATCCAGAATCCAGTTCCACCTCCAGTGACACAAGTGCTTCCGCCACCATCACCTCCACCATCACCCCCACGCTATCCAGAACCTCCAAGGCGCCACTTGATGCTCTCGGGGAGGTTCAATACTCCAGAGCGGCTCGAGTACATCAAGGACGTCAAAGATGAGCTCGCGAGCCGAGGTATCGAGACTTTCATGGTGGAAGAACCCGCTGGCGGAAGGTTCGGCCAGGCAACGATGGAAGGGGTGGTGAAGATGAAGGTGATGGTGGCTTTTTGTGTGGACGATTATGGAGCAAAGACCGGAGCAATGTATGAAACATATTGGGAACTTTTGTATGCGTGGGAAAACCAAGTGCCAATCATTCCAGTGAAACTTTATGAGGGGGATTGGCCCCCGATGCCTCCTGATGAAGCAGGCCGAATTCAAAACAAATATGTTTTCTCGAAAAGCCTCATCTACATTGATGGCCATGAGAAGACAAGACAAGAAGTCGCCGAGCAAATAGCCAAAGCATTGGAACGCCTGAGAATATGATTCACCAAGTAAGGTTGATGAGCCCTGCCAGTTGCATTGAAGACAATATTTGTCGTCCAGTCCAGAGTCCCGGCAAAATGGTTGCAATCTCTTGACCTATGCCTCTAACTTTGCCAACGGAGAGTTGTCAGAAGAGAGCTTTCAGAGCAACAAAGACGTTGTTCCAATAACTGTGACATGGAGTCGCCCAGCATCTTCGCTTGAAGTTGTGATGGAAATGCCTTGAAACACGCTACAGAGGAGCGTGGACGAAAGAAAGGGTTCATCCCAGAGCTTGCTGCCCAGGAGGAAGGAAGTCAACCCAACCGATGGGATTGTTAAGCTGCTTCTCAGTTGCAAGCGACCGGCCGTTACCTGTTAGTCCACCAACGAGCCAAAATGGGCTTGGATTTGCCGGGCTTGGACTCCAAGCAAAAAAGTGGCACAGTCAAGCGCCATGCTCAGGAGATCACGGATTGAACATCAAGAGGGTCCCGCGTAGCACAAAGGCTCATGTTGTCATAGGTTCCAAATGGTGCAGAAACATCAGGGCTCTCAGAAATACAACAACAAAGACGTTCCTGCTGGTTGATTGCACAATTCCTCAAACAGACAGGACCGATAGCTTTGGCTTCAGTTTCTTTGCTTGAAGAGCTTTGTTTCTTCGAGGTGTTGAGTCGGCGCTTGGTCAAGTTCCAACGCATGATGCCTCAACCGAGGAACTTCTTTAGTTACAGAGGACCTGCAGAACAGGTTGCTGCAAGAATTCTCACAACCGGTGTGTGGACTGTGGACTATCCGGCACATTGTGCCAGCAGGCTACGTCTTGGAATCCTTTGCCTGTGGGAGCACCGCACATTGGACGCTTTCCACTTTCCTGCCTTCGTTTGCTTAGTAGCTTGCCACCTTGCTTGTGCCTAGCACCACTTACATCCGTGCTCTCTCCCTCTCTCTCTCTGTTTGACTTCGTGTTTGTGAAATCTAGCGAACATAGCTTCGCGTGTTCCTGGAAACATGGAAAGCTGGCTCCACCTTTGCCGTGGATTGGAAACTACCGTAGAACGTGATGATATGTGTTTCACTTGGACGTTCTGACATGGCCTTTGCAGCACAAAGAATGACTGCCGGCCAGTGTGAATCTGCTCCCTTCAAAACATATTGGAATGCATTGAGGGAGCTGCCCAGAAGGATTTCAATGCACCGTTTGGCTCAAAGACCCTATTTCACCAAAGCACACAAGAAGGACACCCTCAGCGGCTGCTCACTAGAGACTAAGAGTCATGGTGTCACCTGTCACTCCACGAAGATATAATTGAACGTGCTTATACAGTCTTTGGGTGTTGGCTTTATGCCCCTCTTCGTGCCATGGAATAGATGCCGGACCGATGGAACACTTCAGCTTTCGAGCGTTCTCAGTAGTGCAGTGCTTAGCTGGTCTACACAGTCAGAGTAGGTGGCATTGGACAAACATCTTAGGCAAAAGGCCTGAGAAAAGGCACTGCAAACCAGGTACTTCGCTGAGGATTTGGTCCCCCCTTTGGCATGTTTTGTTGCTCAGGCTCGTCTCTGAGGGCTCGTGCATGCCCGTCAGCCCCAGTGGGCGAAAACCTCGGCTACACTTGCACTGGCAAACTAAGCCCAACAGCTCCTTCCCCCTGTTGCTAGCTGTGTCAGCTGTAGCACACCTACCCTAGCTATCAACTCATATTATTGCAAAATGGGCTGAGTTGAAGCAATTGGCTCTTGTTGAGGTTCCAATGCAAGGTCATCCGCAAGAAAATCAGGTGATTTGATTTGTGAGGTCAGCGGCAGCAGCATTAACAAGACTGGAGAACCTGGCTCAGGCGCTCGACTCCCCGTCCTCCTGCCTCGTTTGACACCAGGGTGTTCTTTGTGCTCTATGATGGTGGATTTGTCAACCTACTCATTTTGTCGCCCTAACCAGGAGATGTTGTGAAAGAATTGAAGCTGGAAGCAATCTAAGTTGGCAGCGCTTCGCTCCTCTTAATGGCCACGTGTCACGACAGGCCGCACGGCTCTCCGCAATCGCGAAGGTCGCGAGGAGATGTCCCGAGACTGCATCGTGAAGGGTAACACCTAACTGCTTGTACGGTCACATGCATACTCTTGGAACGGTGTTTTTCTATATTTAAGCTGAGGATGATCTTCACACATGACAATTTTGCAACGACACTCCATGTGCGCTGCTCTACTTTCGGATGATGAGCCCCAGGTCAGAAGATCACCGACACAGGGGAGGAATCGAACAGAACCAGTTTGTGTGACAAGCGCCGCTTGGACAAACGTTTGATGGGTGCGTTCTACCTAGATATCGTGCCCACAGCACATGGACACATCACGACGCATCGGATTTTTTTGATGGACTGCCTCGTGTCATAGAAAGAAAGGTGCCTCTCTGAACATGGGCGATATCCAGTGGTCATCTTCTGGTAGCATAATATGGTCCAGCGTTTCGATACCAACTGATCCAACTCCGTCACACTTTCCGCAGACATAACTGGTTGGATTTGATTGAGGCAGAAGCGACTATCCGCAAGCTACATTATGAGTTTAAGGCCACTCGCCCGGGAGTGGCAAGTTCATGATCTGTATTTTACGTCCGTTGTTTGCCATTGATTCTTTAGTTTAAACCCTAGTTAGCCACCTGGGCATGTACTAGTGCATTGCATGTTGTTTTTCTCTGCCACGCTGAGCCGCTGGATGTAGAGTCCTTGACCGCAGGCCAGAATGTTTCCCTTACGGACTGACGCGTCACCTTCATCGAAGCCTGCGGAGCCATCATCGTGTCTTGAACAAAGAAGGAACAGTTGCTATTTGCACAGCAATGAGTTGATGTGACATCAGCTTGAATGTTCCCCCGCAAGTTGAACATCTAGTCTATAGACATAAAAGGTCTTTAACTCAATTGAAACTAGGCTAATTATCAGCAACTTACTCTCAGATCACATCCTTGTGATGTTTGTCTTTGATGTGTCTTCCTCGTCAGAAACTTCTAGCCAGACTTTGCAGAAGCAAGGCCTCCAGCAAATCCGCCGACGCCAAAGGCAGGCCAAGGGAGACAAGCAGTGAGATCGAAGGCTGTTAAAGGTGGGGTTTGACTAGGAATGTGATTTGGCTGTGAATACTCACTCCAAGGGGCTTCTGGCTTGAGCCAAGACTTGATCAGCGCTGCTTGTTGCAGGAACAAACCAAGGAGTGCTCAACCATACTTGCTTAAAATTCTGCTGTGTCGAAAGGCCGCGGCAACATGGAATGACGACGATTGGTCAGCCAGCCTGGCTGGCTTCTCATAGAATTAGTTGGAGAACAATGTGGGATCGACATGGATTGACTACACACACTTTAAGTCCACACAACTACATGGGAGCACAGGTAATATATACTCACACCAGAGCTGGCTGTTCTTTTCCAAAGCAATAGATCAGAACACGGCTTTAGGGTCAGGGCCAGCCGGTTTCTGAGCCCCTATGTTTGGGACATGTCACATTGGCAGACTAAAGTTGCAGATCGGTCCTTCTCATGACAAGGCACAGGAATGGTGTTCTACAGAACCAGCTTTTGCTACACTACATGGAGCATGGGATTGTTTGCCAGGCATCTATCGAGCGAATCGCGATGTTCAAGGCTGTTTCTTGGACTTGCATGGACTTGGCGTGTTTTAGTCGTGTGTGAGAGAGATCCACGTTGGAGGACCAGTGTGTCAAGCACTGCAAGTTTGTCACGTCATGCCACGTCACTTCCATCTCAGACGTTCTTTGGAGGGCCAGCTCAACAATCCACTGGTGCCCTTTCTCCTGCTATGTCCGGATATCGAAATTCATTTGCCGGCTTCCTTTTTCATCATTTTGCGCTGACCTCTTGCCGCATGCTTGGACTTTCCTTTGTAGGCTGAAACAACAAAGGTTTCTTGAAAGGAACTTAGAGTTGGCATACATGCGAGCCATAGTTTGTTAGTGAGTTACAATCGTGCTGTACGCCTTAGTGGTGGCAACTTGCAGAAGGAGCTGCTGTTCGAGAAGTGAATATCAACACGCAGCTGAAATCCTTCTTTATAATAGCCGCATGTGACATGTGTAGGTTTAGGAGGTTGGATTTGCAGATTGTGTTTTTGGTCCTAAGTGCCAACAAAGAGGTGTCAGCCAGAAGTTGCGCCACAAAGAACCAACTTCTGCTTAACCTGGATTGAACTGCTTTGCCAGGCATCTATGGGACTGAAGGACCGTGGGCTGAAGATGCTTCAGGTAGCTGTGGGCCTCACTTGATGTCAAAAAGCAGCACGAAAAAGAAGGAAAGAGAACAACCATTGATGATTCTGTTTCCCTTCTTAAGGCTAATAGAAAATGTGCATTCAACAAGTTCTTCGCTGGGCTCCCGGTGTTGAACTTTGACAGTGTTTGTGCAGGACTCAGTCAGGCCTCCAAAAGCTGCGGCCTCCCATTTCTGGAGCGTGCCGTCACAGGTTTCCCAGGCCTTCCCACCGCACAATGGACATGTAGCCAACAGTCTGAGGATAACTTGATAAGATTACTCTAATAAATTGATCAATGTACTGCTGGGAAAAGGATCAAGACTGCCTTTGCAGCTTGGCTTAACAGTAGCCGTTGTCCCGTGGAATCGATTTCCAGAGTTTGCTGGTATGCCTTTATTAAACAGTCATGCATGCGGCTGCATGCGTGTGTACGTGACGTACCTAGCTATCGTTGCCCCAGAGTGGAGACCTGAACTTCTAAAACAGCGCATGTCCTTGTAAAGCGTGCAGAACGACAAGTTCTTTAATGTTCAGTATTTCATAGCATTTTATAGCTATATAGGTTCCTATTTAAGTAAGCAACATGCTCAACAGGAAGGTGGAGATTTTGGTTTGATACGTTCATGTATTGCTCAAAAGATGTTCGACACCTGCTTGGTAGCCTTCTCACACTTTCTTTCTCCGGAATCCCTAGGACCTCTAGAAAGCTGGCTGGTTTGTTTCCTGTATTGTTCATGAGGCCTCAAGTAAGTATTGAATGTATAACTGGTTACAGTAACGACTGCTTGAGACCTTTAGCGGATGCTCCCCACCCTGCTCCGATCTTATTCAATGCTTTTACTATGGCTGAAGAATCGAAGCGCTTGCTGTCAAGGGGAAAAATGGACACAGTACCTATATGAATACTGTGCGCATTGCACGTGTTGCTTGGGCTGCAACCATGAAACCATCCAAAGTTGATAACGTGCCCTCCAACATGTCGATTGAGTCTTCACCGCTATCTCACAAGGTTTTTAATGTCACAAGCAAACACAATGCGACATACACTTTGGCACATGGTATTTCACAGATCACTGTCTCAAGATTCTACAGTTGTATAAGCTGTGATGCATGGAACAACCAGATGAAAAGTTGTACTGTACCAATAAGTATTTCTTCTACACTCGGCATGAATCCAGCACCTTTGTGAAAGCCCGTCCTGGCAGGCATCTGTGAGACCGGAGGACAATGGTGTGAACTGTTGGGATGCAAACCTTCTAGCGGAATTGCTGCATTCAACAGGTTATTCAGTTATTCACTGAGTCCCACGCAGTATTTGTGCAAGACTTGGTGAAGACCCTGCAATCAGCTCCGTCAAAATGTTGCCTTGCTGGTTAGGCAGGCTAGAAGGGTATACCGAAGGCGTGTTGTCAACATGGGCATGGGCAAAAGAGGACATTAAAATGATAGCGCAGCTGCCAATGTCGATGTGAACAAATGCTGGCTGCCGAGCATGGAATCATGCAGAGTCGATAGTCTAGTTGTCCAAGCTCATTGTTTTCTCACATCAATAAAGGTCTGGAATGGCCGTAATAGCAACGTATTGTTTTTGCGCGTGTTATATACACGAGCTCAAACTAAGCGAAAGGAAGTCGTGGCGTGAAGACTACGTGAGTGATGGAGAAAACGGAAAGCAACAAGGTTGTCAGAGTGCAGGTTGGATTTCACTCTGCTGAGAGGGTGGCGCGGCAGGCCTGCGGAACGAATCCATTGATTGCTGTATCGTTGAATGGTATGAGCACAGCTGACCCAGCCGACGTTGTGACATGTGAGAATCCGGCGGCATGCAAAGCTTGAGCAAAGTTTGGCGCCCATGATGAAGAAACGGGCGTCCACGTACTGGAGATAGAGGAATGTATAGTGTTGCCCGGCGCGTGAGTGCTTAATGCATGTTTTTGGGGACGTTGCGTGATCTTATGCCACCACCTTGAATTTGTTGAGTTTAAAGATGGTGCTGCAAGCAGTAAAATACATTAATGGTCGAGTGCGATGCGGACAATGTTTGTGATGTCATGAAAATCAGGTGTGCGTTGTGTAGGGCATCGGCGGTGGTGTCTGCCAATGTGTGAGTGTTGGATGAGGTTGCTCGATGAGTGAATGTCAACGGTGATGGTGTGAGTGGCGTGTGTGAGAAACCACTTGGTGGACAAACTGTGGACTGCAGAGGTAATGAAGCAGGGCTGGAGGCTTTCTGCAGATGGATTGACTTGTAGTGTGGTGTGAGGCATAGGGCTGGAGAGTGCCGCCAATGGTTTGTTCGGTGGATTGGTGCTGGACTGATGGCGCAAAGTTTTCGCTGTTGGAACTAACTATGTCAATATGTTTCTCGCGCCGTTGGTGCAGCAGCTGTCGCAGGTGTGGCGTGCAGACACCTTCAGCGGCGGACCTGGTAGCAACGATGCTGGTGTTTGCGTGGCTTATGAATACCCAGTTGTTGACGCGGAATCGAGATGTGTGTCAGTTGGCGCCCAAGTGGATGGACCAGTGTGAGTTGAAGAAGGAAGAGGTCCGGTGATGGATGTGCTTACGTTGGAAAGGGGGCGAGGGGGTACAGTTGAGGGAGTTGTCAGACAGGAAGTAGCCGACCATGCTACTCCATTCAACCTTGCGTCTGGCTGGATTTGCTGCTGTTCTTGTTTGTGGACGCCCTTGCATCACAGGGTCTAGAATGGTCTAGATATCCATCCAACGGCTCATACGACGTTGAGAAGGCCTCCAACCTAAGAGCGATGGCCTCCAACCTAATAGCAAACCAATATTATCATATCAGCGTTGCCTTATCTGAAGTTCTCCTTCTAGCCAGCGGCGCTGCACCGGTCAACTGCGCCTGCGTGAATACCAGGGAATTGTTGCAGCTTTCTGAGACAGTATCCGCTGATCCGAGCTCTTGCGTTTGGAACTCGCTGTCAGAGGAGAAGCTCACACAAATGCACGGTGGTGGTGATATCCTTTCTGCGGTGGCAAATTTTTGGTGATGCATTCATCAACAGATCAACATGCATGCATCGTTTTCCTCCAATTGAAGTGCTGGAGACGAGCAGTCGATTCTTTTTGCACTCTTGTCTCCACAAAGAGTGAGTTGTGCTTCAACATAATTAAGGTTGAAAGCGCAACATTTGGCTACGAACCTTCATGTCAAGCAAGTCTGGTTGTTCTAACAAGTGTCACGTTGATGTCGTGAGATCCCCTTGGCGCGACCCTCGTTTTTTTGCGAGATCATTCCCCAGCTCCACAGCGCCAGCCCACCGGCAGCGCCACAGCGCCACAGCGCCGTTCGTATTTGCACCGGGCCTCTCCAACACCTGCCTTTCCCGTGGCACTCTATGTAAATAGGTGCAAAGGTGCTTGCTGCTGGTGTATGCCTGTGCATGTCATCTACTTCTGTGTGGAGACCTGTATTTTGTCCAAGTCTGCAGTGAATGGACAGGACGTGTGGAATTTCTGTTCCAGGTTGAGTTCTGTCGTACAACATGATGCTGGTCATGCCTAGTTGCGTCAGGTGCAGGTTTGCCAGTGTCTCCTTAGCTTTGGCCTCATGTCACTTGTTATGCTATGTTTGGGTTGAGTCACTCCAGCTTTGAAGGCGGCCAGGAGGGTTTCAATCAACCTTACGCAACGTTCATTGTTTTGGACATGCTGGAAGATTGCGACAGCCGCAGGACACAAGACGTCCTTAGCTTTGGCCTCCGTACAACACGAAGCAAAGGTCGAAGACGTCAAGCAGAACTTGGAGGATGCACATGTTTTGTGTTTTGTCAGGTGTTTTTGGAACTGTTTTGTACTAATTTTGACATGAATTTGAATGTGTGTTATTTGTGTGTGTGTGTGTGTCCCACCCTGTTTCGAAGGGTTACCACCGCTTCCACCTTGTCCACCGTTTCACCTTTCAATACCTATGTTGCAGGGGGCCAGCGCATGACATCACGACGCTGGCCAACGAAGCTAGTGATGTCATGGGATGCGGTCAGAGACGTCTGACCGTGTACCTGCAAAGAACCTGTTGCTCACGCTGTCCAATCTTACTTCTTTGGTTCCATGGTGGTTCATGCTACTCCCCACAAACCTTTCTGCCCCAGCAGCTGCCGCTCGCCGTTTCGCCCGCTTCTGTCGCGAGTCTGCAGATGTGCGCAAACCATTTGTTCAAACATCTACAACTGATCGGACTCCTCACCTTACCGTTGAGCCATTCGTTTCCACTGAGAGTGTGTACCTGCTCAGCCGCCCCACGTGGGTGCTGAGTGTGATCCCCCGCAAGGGGGCGCTGTCTCATTGGGAAAGCATTAACTGATTCAACCACCTTTCACCGGACTTCCACTGGATTTCACCTGCCATTTCTTTGAATCAACAGTTCTTACGGCCGCCGGGCCTCACCACGGAATGCAGACCTTGCGTTTTTCTCAACTCCAGTTTTGCATGCCGTTTTCAAGCTTTCAATCGATTTGCGAGCTTTCGAGACGATATGTATGAACCCGCCACAGCATTGCAAGTCAACACTTGACCTTTCACAAACACTCTCCACCACACAAGCACATTCCCACATTGGAACTACATTTTCACAGCAACAGCATTTACCGCTTTGCTATCACCACGCCGCGCCATTTGCCGCTGCGCCTGGGGCTAGCCAATCACAGCAGCAGAAACAGAAGCACTGCTGACTTCGGCGACATGCAATACCCCTGGCCTTACAACTACACAACACCTCCATCACTACCCACAACTCCGACACCACAACTTGTACCACCACACGCCATACCCACCGTCCAATTCCCGCAACCACAAGCATTTGCCACTGCACAACCTCCAGCACACTCAACTCCACAACAATTTACCATTTCCACCCCAACATCTATTCAGCAGCCATCACCCACACCGACTGCTTACAACCATCCTCCCACCTGGACGCTTGTGCAACCTGCTGCCACTCAACCTGTCCCACATCACACAATGCCGTCCCACCCATCGACAGCCTACTACACACAACCACAACCACAATCACAAACCCCACAAACCACACATCAGCCAACGACAGCTTACCACCTGCAGCCACAAACGACGGTCTCTCCATCATACGTGATCCCGCAACCACACCCTATGTCACCACCACTTTCAGCCACCCCACCGCAGACTCCTCCACCACCACCTCCAACCCCACAGCCAACATCAGCCGCCACTCAGCCGGACTCCCAACATCATATACCACAAGGAGTGTGGCAACAACCATACTCAGCATTCCCGCAGGTTACACCACCACCTCATCAACCATTTTCCTCACCACCACCGACAGCAGGCGATTCCTCCTCCCAACAAACACCACCACCACAGCCAACATTACCACTCGCTTCCACCACCTCTTCCGCTGGTGCATCACACAACCAACCTTCAACATCACCTTCCATTCCCTCAGCTGCGCCGACCACAGTTCCACCAGATCCCGCAGCTGGCACATCAACCACGCCAGCCTTACCTACTCCACCACCCTCAGACCAACACCACAGCAGTCGACATCGTCGCCACAGCCATCACCGACGCTCCAGTCGTCACCGGCACGGTCGCCGTCGCCACCACCGTCGGCATACACGCCGTCACCATTCAAGGAGCAGAAGACATCACAGCTCCACTCGGCGACATCGTTCACCTTCCATTTCCACGTACTCAACCTCCTCCTCCCCTCCCGCAGCAGATCTCGCAACCCAGTCGAGCTGCGACCCAATACCGATTCCACGGTGGCAGACAACACTGACAACACCACTACACAATACCCTCTCACTCCAGTCGTCCGTCGACCACCCAATGTGTGGCGACCACCACCCCACATTCACCAACTTTCACCACAAGAGCAGATTCTCATTTGGCTGGAGTTCCACGCTGAACAGCTGGACGCTCAGAACCGCCCTCAACATCGATACCTTGCCCACCTTCTTTCCGACAGCAACATTACATACAAAGACATCTCCGATTTCAGGCAATACACCCATGTCAAATGGAACGACACCACTCAACAATATGAACAATTCCAATACAACACCATCTCACTACCCTACCTTTGCGACAAAGCATCCACACCAACACCCCCTCCAGTATCCCGTGCAACCTCCACCCACCGTGAGGTTGCCCACGTCAATGCCGGACATACCGGCCCAGTTGGAAACATCACAAACATCCTGCCGCAAGGACGTTTCCTCGCCAGCACCCTCCACTTTTACAACTACCCCGGATTCTTTGCCCAAGGTGTCCGGATCACCCACAACCAACAACATGACCACGGCGAGTTCGCTCGCATCATCCACAACACATGGCAACTCAACAAGAACACCCACTCCATCGTCATCACGCTTCTCGCGTGGGGCACTGCCACCAAATACACCTCAGGCGGCGAGGAATACGCGATGACCCTCCTGCGTGACCACCACGGAGCCGTATTTCACCAGAAGGGCAAGTGCTGGGTGATTCACCCAGACCATGCTATCGTCAAAGGACTAGCATGGTCCGCTAACGCCACTCCACCAGACCTATGATCCACGTGGCAACAGCATTTCCACCAGCACCTCCTCCCCCATCACCAACATCCACTACAACCTCACGTCTCACCCAATCACATACCGCTGGCTTCGCCAACAGCAAAAAAGACACAGCTGCCACTTGCGGAACTTTTTCAGCTTTCAGCTCGGAATTCATTTGCCAAGTTTTCAGTGCATGTGAATCTCTCTTCGAGTCACTTTCTTCAAGGTTTTTCAACGGGGGTTTCTACTATTCTGTTTGCTTCCTTTCTGAACATGTATGAACCACTGCAATCTTGTCTATCAATTTTGGCCCGGACGTGATGCCTAATTCATGTGCATGTTCCCGTTTCCGTGCCGCCTCGCCCCTGCCGCTCCTGCGCCGAGCCGCTGAGCAGCTGCGCTGTGATCAAGATTGCTCGACATTTTTCAACCAAAGCATTGAGACATGACTAGCACCCACGTCAATCAGCCAGCAGACATCAACACCCTGCTACATCAAACTACGATTGCACTTTCTCAAGTCCGAGCACTTTTACAGCAAACCACAGACATCTTAGCCAATCTGCACACTTACTTTCTACATCACACAGGACAAGCCAACAGTCTCCAGCCACAACCCTTCACACACCTACCACGACCTCACAACGCGTCCATTATCCTCCCATCCCCCACATCCTCTTGTGATTCCGCACCCCTGGCCCCCAGGGTCCGTCCCGCCAAAGCACCTACACGGGACTCAGAGGACACACCCACTCCTCCACCCTCCCCTCCAGCAAAGCCGGCTCGCAAACGCAAAGAGCCACCAACAAACCCCATTCACACAAGCACCACAGACTGGGATGCCTGGGATGCCGACGCAGACTGTCGTTTGGTCGAACTAAAAAGCAACCCCAAGCTACGACCGAATTGGAAGTTCGTCGCCCGCCGAGTTGGCTTCTCGGTGGAACAGTGTAAAGCTCGCTGGACCGAACTTCAAGACCTTCAGAAGCTACAAGATCTCAAGCCATCAGACAACCCTCCCACTATTGCAGACACAACCAAGCCCACACCACCAGATCCAGCAGCTCCTCACACCACTCCAACCCCTACCTCACCAGCTAACACGCCACCACTGCCATCACAACCGGACTTTTCAGCAACACCTGTTTCCAATCCAACGACACCACCTGCTGATGTGCTACTGCCGCCGGCTGCTGAGCGAGCGCCTACTGAGAACGGCCAATTGGATTCAACTCCTGACTTACCTGTCGGCTATGGATGTCCAAAGTCTATGTTTTGCGTACTGTCTGATATGCCTGGGGTCTGGGGAGTCTGGTTTCTGCCCTTTGAGCTCCATAGGTTTCAGCCTTTCTTTGTCCTCAGAAAACAATATATTCATATTTCCTAGAATGATTTCAACCAGCTTTCTGTCTGCAGGAAAGAGTGCTTGTGATTCTTTTTTTTGTTGGGAAGCTTGTTGAGGCTTCTGCTGAACAGGTTAACTCAAAGTAGGTTTGTTCTGCAAAATCCGCTTGACGGATCAACTGACTGTGGCTATGTCAGTGGCCATCGAGAAAAACACATATCTTTCAACTTCACCAGTGTTGCAAAATCAAAGCTTCTGACCAGCTGCTGTTGGTGTTTTCTATTCAGAAAGGGCAATGGATCGCCTGGCTCTGAAACTCAAGGTAGTCAACATGGGAATGATTTTGAGGATGAGAGGAATATGTGTGTATGATGCATATCACACAAGAACCCATGTTTTTAGCACACAAAAAAGTTGTTTCTTTCACATATTCTGAAGCACATAGCTATAAATTTCACTCATACGCGTGCATCTCACACAGTGGGAATGGTCCAACAAGAAGATTTCGTGCCACATTCCCAGTGCAGTTTCTCATGCCGTTTCATGACTTCTCATGGTCACTTTGTGCTCTTGAAGCATGGAAGCATTCTATGCTCTTCTGGCTTGGTGGCTTCATCGAGCACGAAGCTGGACAGCACTATGTTAAATTGATGGTCCACTAAAGAACTGTGCACAAACAAAGCAGAATAATCCATCCAAGGATACTTTCATTTTTGGAAGCTACTTATTTGCGGCACACCGGGAAGAAAAGTGGACAACGTATTTGTTCAGATGTACTGAATGACTTTGATCACCTCGCTCCTTACACAACAAGTCGAAGTTGTTTTTTTGGTTAGTGCTTCTTTACAGGCTGTGCCGTGTATTGTGCATTCTGTGCAAATCTTTTGA